CTAATGTTTCGCCAGCACCTGTGACCGGCATCTTCAGAGTGCAGGAGCACAGACAGGAGCACACAGCCCGGAAGACCCACACCAGCCATCGTATGCTGGCCGTGAAAGCCTTCGACAATACAATAGGAGGAGAGCTGCAGTAGTCTACAGTAGTCCAAAATCAGAGGGAATTTGGGGAAAACAGGGTGTTATACAGATGTATAATGGGTTTTTAGCAATTACAATTGTTATCTGATAAGTATTTGTAATCTGTCTCATCTGTAATCTATTATCAGTGTAACTACTTTGTCTTCTCTTCTCCTCCACCTCATCTCAAGTTAAATCCTACATCAGTTTAGCCCCTCCATGGATCTGATGAAGTGAGCTGTAGCTCACAAAATCTGATGCCTTTTAATAAAAATTGTTAGTCTGAAAAGGCACTACTAGATTCCTGGTTGAAGGACTTGTCTGTAGATCACAATAAATTACGGTGCATGGGCATTTAGCAGAGGCAAAAAAAAAAAAGGCAGGGGGGAAGAAACTGTAAATCTATTCACATCTGGAAAAAAATCCAAGGGCAGAACTTCCTCCTGATTTAGAGTGGTGAGGAATAAAGGCTGAAAATAAGATACAACCCTTTTCCTCAGGACAACATCCTGATTCAATCCATTCCAAAAGAAAAAGCAAAAACATTCCCACCATTCTCAACAGGCATGCTCAGAGTCCCAAAATATTCAGAGTACATTGTCTGCTTTCAGACTCCACCCCATCCCTACAGCACTGCCATGATTGGTCAGTGTTCCTGCAGATATTGATGTTCAGAGCAGGGAGGAAAACACAGCCAGAAAAATCCACCAATACCTTTACTTAAACAGACTTGCAAATAATAATTCAAGGCGCTACCATTCATCAACAAACTAGAAGGGAGGCAACTGAAGTAAGATAGGAGACAGCAATAGGGACAATCTGATTGATTGATGGATTGATTGATTACATGCCATCAAGGTGTTTTTGACTCTTAGCAACCACATAGACCATACAGATTTTCTCAATGACAATCTGTCCCTAAGCTGGTCTTTTGGGTCTTCCAATGGTGTACCCATCACTGCTGTAACTGAATCCATCCATCTTGCTACTGGTTGTCCTCTCCTTCTCTTTCCTTCTTCTATCTTTCCCAGCATTACAGCCTTCTCCAGAGAGCTAGGTCTTCACATAATGTATCTGAAGTAGGACAATTTGAGCCTGATCATTTGTGCCTCAAGTGAGAATTCTGGGTTGACTTGTTTGATGATCCATCGGTTTGTATCCTTGTCTGTCCATGAAATTCTCAGGAGTCTTCCCCAACACCAAAGTACAACAGCGTCAATACTCTTCCTATTTTGCTTCTTCAAAGTCCAACATTTACTTCCATTGAGTGTCACAGCGAATATCATGATTTGCGTGATTCTGGTCTTAATTGACATAGACACATCATGGCATTTGAATATCTTTTCCAAAGACTTCAGTGGCTGCTCTACCATGTGCTAGTCGGTGGCGTATTTTTTGACTGCTTCTTCCTTAACTATTGATGGTTGATCCTAAAAGGCAGAAGCTATCCACCACTTCAATATCTTCATTGTCAATTCTAAGGCTGATTGTTCTACCTGTTGTCATTAGTTTGGTCTTCTTTAGATTCATCTTTAGTCCCATTTTCCATTGCGCTCCTTGACTTTTATTACTAGAGCTTGCAGATCATTTTATTTTTTGGCTATCAGAGTAGTATCATCAGCACAGCTGATTTATGCTGGTACAGTTTATGCTGGTACAGTATTCTGATGACTTGAGAATGTGTGAAGGGTGCATTAACTGGAGAGTGTAAAAACACCCTTGGTCAAGTTTCATCTAACTCTAAGTGTGTGTCTCCATTATTCTGCACCTATAACCTGCAGTAATGGTGTAACCATTAACGTGTGTGATCTGTCTGATTTTACAAATTGTGTTAAGCCAAAATATGACTTTCATATTTACTTATTGGAAGCCATGGCAGGGTTACCATCCATAAAATCAAGATGAAATAATAAAAGTAGATAATATAAATACCATATTTATCTAATATTTATTTAGATAAATAAATTAATATTAATTAATTAATTAATATTAATCTAACCTAGCTATATGTTCACTAGGAGTTGAAAATAACTCGATGGCATATAATCAATCAATCAATCAATCAATCAATCAAT